ACGGCACCACGGGGACTTTCCCCTGAGAAGCCTTTGAGGAAATGCCGGGTGTTTTCAAAGGCCACCTTCCAGGAAGGCAGGGCTGATCCTATCAGCCAAGCCCCCTGCACTGGCCGGGCACAGCCCCCCACAGCCAGGCACTGCAGGGCATCGGGCTGCTCGTCTTGGGTTTTGCAATATTTGGGGACAAAAATGGGCTTTTTTTAAGGTAGGAATTTCCTGGAGGAGGGTCTGTCCTGTGCCCGGCTCAGCCAATGTGCCACTCCTTGGTCTCCCTTGCCAGCCTTCACTGCCCATTTTACAAGAAAACCATCAAAGGAGGAGAAGCATGCCGGGAGCACGGCACTGCACTGGTGCCAGGATCCAGCACCCAGCACCCTCCAAACTGAGCTGGCTTCACAAATGGTTTGGATGGGGGGTGTCACACTCCTGGTTTGGGATAAGGACCCCCGGGTCTCATCAGTGATACCATAAAAGTCGGCAGAGAGAAACCCTCTGAGACTTGTTGGCAGTTTCAGAAGGCAGGCGTTCTTTATTGCAGCGCTGGCGGCACGGGGCATAATTCCTCCGAACGCGTCTACCTTTGGTTGAAGTTGGTGAAGTTTATGTATGTCAGTTATATACATACGGATTAGATTTCCAAGAATAATCCCACGTATTTATCTCATTTCTGAGAACTAGTTAGAATATTTGTGTCCTAATTACACATGTGTCCTGAGTCCTTTGGGTTCCTTTGTGAGGGTCTTTTGGGGTCTTCGGGACCCTCTGCTGGTTGTTCTTTAAATATCCTTCGGTTGAACAGTCTTTGGAGGATGGGTCCAGGTGTCCTTTATTTTAATTCAAACGATTAACCAGTTCTGGCTATTATTCAAGGTCGATCTGGTCTATTCCCAGTTCAAAGTGGTTTTCCTCTCTTTAACATTCTTGAATGATCTATTGTTTGGAGCTCCCTCTCCATAGTCATTTGTTCTCTATCTGATTTGTAACAGGAAAGCTACAAACGATCATACAACAAGAGTTCAGATGGACATATACAAAAAGAACACAGACGGACTATTCCAAATCCTGGGTACCATCAGCATCCCGTGGCTGT